AATTTTTTCTCTTTTTAATCTTGTTATAGTCACTGCAGTGATGTCCAACAAACCGTTAAGCCGTCTTGCTGAAAATGGGGAATGCCACAAGAGTGAAACGGGAAATGGACCCCACAATCTGTCTTCTCCTACACTTGGCACATTTACCCCAGAAGAGATGGTGCAGCAGATGAAAGAGCTGATTACAGAAAACAATGAATTAAAAGGTGAATAAGAACCTGCCTTGAAATGTAGATGCTAGAATCTCCATAGTCTTGTACCTTGTATTGTCATTTATACCTATGCTATGTGAGTTTAAAAATAGAATCAATACAAAATCCCTACTCACTCACAGCAGTTCACCATATTTTACACCCAAACAGCTTGCACTGTGAATAAGTGTAAACGACTGCGCAAGGTGTAAGGCACTGCAGAATCTGCCTCATGCTGTATGGTAATATTTAAGGTAACCTTATAAAATTGAGTCTGTATGGAAGATTAAGGGCCAAAAAACCAGACTGTAGTATAACCTGGTTTCTTGAGAATTATAGAAATAGTACCACTTTGCAAAATTTTCCAATAACGGGCACAAAATCTGTTTTGATGTGATGATTAATACAAAAGAAATTTCCATTGACTACTCAACTAGTTGGTAGGCACTTCCGCATTCCTCCTTTGAAATGTACAAGAGCTCCACCGGGGGGCGGCTCTTGTACATTTCAAAGGAGGAACACGGAGCATACAGCCTGGGGCCAGCGGGAAGTCCCGCTGACTCTGGGCTGCCCATGGTTGTTCCTTTGAAATGTACAAGAGTCCCCAGTGGGGGCTCTTGTGCATTTCAAAGCCATGGAGCAAATGCTTATTGGATAGTCGACTAGTCTTTAACATCCCTAGTCAGTGTGACCCATGGCCAGAGAGTTCCATGATACGGTAGGCTTTTATTGTTTATTTTTCAAAAGAACATTCTGTGTTTAAAATTTAGATTATGAATAATTCTTACAGCACTAATTATGCTTTACTAATTTTATGGGTTACATCAAGGGATACATTAAGGCCAGACTTGACAAAGCCCTGGCTGGGATAATTTAGTTGGGGTTCTGGATAGCAGGTTGGATTAAATGACCTCCTGAGTTCTCTTCCAACGCTCATCTCCTATATTTTCAATGCCTTAAATCAATATTATACATAGGGATTATGCTGACATAAAATAAGATCTCTTGGACAGATCTTAGAGCAAATGGAAAGCTAGAGCAACATATATAATTCATCAGAGGTTAACAAATGTAAGACAGGTATCTGTATAGATACACCACTTGTCTAGTATCTTGTAAGAAGCTATTTCTGTGGAAGCAAATCTCTTAAGATTTATGTGCTACTCATTAATTGTTGAAACTAGGGATATTAACTATGTGGTCTTTGTATAAATTTGTAAGCGCTGGAAATTGTAGTGGTTACACATTTATGTGGGGAGGGTGGCGGCTCCCCACGAGAACTGATTCCCACTGGAGCCAGCATGCATGGAGAGATGCTTTAAAAGCCAGCTCCTTGCATGTGGTAACTCCTGCCTGCCCCACCCCATCGCGCTGCTGCCTCTGTGGGAGGCAGCAGTGGAGGGCGACAGGCAGCTCGACGGAGTCTGCACGCATGGAGAGATGGCTTAAAAGCTGTCTCCCTCCCTTGCTGCCTTTTGATACAGAGGGAGCAAGGGTGGGAGTGTGTGTACCTGATAGGATTAACTGATAAGCCCATGCTTATCGATTAATTGTGTAATTGGTTACACTTGACATCCCTTATTGAAACATATATTGATCTATCCCAATTTGAGTACTGCCTTCTTAGCTGAGAAAGTAAGGGCTCTTATTTTTACAGCTGTTAGAGATTTCCAGAATCATTATGTCCTCTAGGAAGTAAAGCCAAGGATATCTTTTGGTGGTCCAGGAAACAATGGATAGAATAACTTTATTATCTTTTCAATACCACGCTGAGCCGTCCAGTACCATATGCAATACAGTTTCAGGACTACATTTTTAGGTCACATAAACTGGCATAGTTCCTTTGTCTTTAGTGGATTTATAGCAGAAAGAAGAAATAGTCCTCTGTGTATATTACAGCTCTGTCATGCATTATTATTGGAAGCTAAAGAAAAGTACATTGTGTTTGAAATCTAGTAATCTTGAAAGAAGAGAGTCTTTAAAGTGGGCTCTGACATTAAATTTTTAATTAATCTGTTAGAGCCCTTTATA